AAATCCGCGTGCCACCAAACCCACTGCCATGACGTCGATTTGGATTCAGTGACTCTAGGACACACTCTTAACTGCCCACAGGGTCTCCAAAGCTGTCATTTTTATGGAAGCAGACTGCCACATCTCTCTCCCAGCTAGTGGATTTGAGCTACCGACCTTTCGTTTAGCAATTGAGTGCTTAACCAACATACTACCAAGGCTCCTCTCTGTATCAAAAAGAGGCTGACTTTTCAGAGTTCAGGCTCTTCCTGGCCACCCAGGCCACATTCTCTACCACTTCCCTAAAAAAAGCCCTTCCTAGTCTGAATTTTCAAAGTAACTCCTACGCATTTTTCACCTTCTAGCTGACAATGTAGCTTCTTCTCTCCTAGACTGAAGAGTTCCCGATGGCCAGGCTCTAAAACTCACTGCCACCGAATCAGTTTCAACTCAGTGGGTTTTCAAGGCTGCAAATGTTTACGGAAGCAAACTGCCACATCTTTCTCCCTCAAAGCACCTGATGGGTTCAAATCACCAATTTTAAGTTAGCCGCTGTCTGCCACTGCTCCACTGTATCACCAGGACTCCTGTGAACAGACTCTAGGTCTGACTGCATCTATTTAAACCCACACACCAGTTCTCTCTCTACCCTCACTCCATGCTCATCCCATCCTCCTTCCTACAGTGCCTCATTAGGTGGAGTTTAGTAAATGCAGCAGGTCTTGGCCTATTAATGTTCAATAGGACAGTCGGGGTACGGAGCGATGCCTCACTTTCTGGCCAGGACAGTAAGTGATAATACCTCACCTACCTAAGGTGCCCACCCTGTCAGGACTGACTCCTCCACATTCCAATACCATTCAGCAGCTTGGCTCTCACACATCCAGTCACTGCAGTGAATGGATAAACTTTATTCGTGAGTGGGAAAAACAATACTAACAAAAAAGCTACCAGCTACCACTGGTGACAAAAGTTCAAGGCAGGGAAAAGAAAGGAAAGGTAGAGAAAGGGCTAGGACTTTGGGGGTAGCCAGACTGTATGTGATTATTAATGACCTGAGATATTTGTGGAATGAATAAAGCAATAAATGAAGAGAGACCTTTTAACATGGGAAAGAGAACTAAGTTTCTTCTCTTTATTTTTATTGGCCTATGGTGCTGCGCTGTAGGTTAATTCGTACATTGCAAAGTAGGTTTGAACCACAGGTCGGCAGTTCAAGCTCACCAGCCGCTCCTCAGAAACCCTATACAGTGCCACTGTGGGCCAGGACCTACTCAACAGCATTCAACAAGAACAACAACAAACATTTATCAAAATGTGAGTTATGCATTGGGCTGTTCACCACACGATCAGTAGTTCAAATCCACCAGCTGCTCTGTGAAAGAAAAATAAGGCTTTCTGCTCCCATAAAGATTGACAGTCTTAGAAACCCTATACAGGGTTGCTAAGAGTTGGAGCTGAATTGATGGCTCACACCCACCACACTGAGTAAGCATTTCCTGGAATCCTGCTGCCTGACAGCACTTTCTGTGATGATGCAAGTTCTACACTCTACGCTGCCCAGTGGGGAACACACTGGCCACAGGACATTAGGCAATTGCAGTAGGGCTAGTGAGACTAAGGAGTTGGAATTCTTTATCATCATTATTTGATGTTGTTGCAAATGTACACAGCAGAGCACACACACATGCAACAACTTGTACACTGGCTACACAAGGGGGTTCAAAAAGGTTCTGGAAAAACGGAATTTTCCACAGATTTTTTGAAGTCCTCTCATATTCTTCAAGTTGGGCACTCCCACCCTCCCTCTCCAAATAGTTTCTCCCCAATGAACATAATCTCACTGTCCTCTACATTCTCTATGTCATCTTTGAGTTGCTGTTGTCAATTTGATCCCATATATGCATAGTTCTTAAAAGAGCACATTGCTCAAGGCAGGTGTTCTTTACTTGGCAAACTGATGTGTCTGGTTTCAAGAAGAGATGCAGCAATCTTCTGAGTTTCAAGGCTTAAAGATTATCTTTAAGCAATAGTTTTCAGGGGTTCATCCACACTTCAAGAGATATTTTTGGTTGAAGGTTTATGTTCCGCATGTCCTTTTTGATCAGGATTTTCCTATAGAATCTTTGATCAAAATGAAGAACTACACTTCAAATTTTATTTCATTTAAATTTAAATAGCCAAATGTGGCTAATGGCTACTGTTCTGGTCAGTGAAAGATCAGAATACGGAACTTCTTTCTTTGCCTTAACACTTTGATCCTGACAATATTATGAACGTTTCAGGATTATCTCAAAACAGATACATTTTTGTCAAAAGGATTTTCCTGACCAAAACCCATTAAGCTAATAAAGATCCATGATCAATATTCCAATTTCCACTTTTTGTTGGAATCAAATCGCCTGACACCGCACTGAGTATTCTTTGTGCGTTACTTCTGAGGCTCACCGTTGCCTACGAGGTAGAGATCATCCACCCCCATTTGAAGGCTGAGGAAACAGGCAATAAACGAATAGGCCTGTGATCAGAGTTTAGGAAAACTACAATTCAAATGACTAGAGTCTGAAGTTTTTCACAGGAGAAAGATGAGGGTTTACAGCCTCAGGAACCTCGGGAACTCTCTGTGAGTTGAAACTGACTCCATAGCATGTAACCACCACCATATCTAGCAGAGTAGGAGAGACATGATCAAGTTTATATTTTCAAGGGAATAATGGAAACTGTAAATAGGCTGTGGTAGTGGCTACAAATCTTTACAGGAGCAAAAAGCCTCATCTTTCTCCCGAGCAACAGCTGGTAGTTTAAAACTGCTGACCTTGCGGTTAGCAGCCCAACTCATAACCCACACTATGCTACCAAAGCTCCTTGTAAATCGGCTATATGGAGGCAAACCTAAGGAGAAATATAACAAGAGGAAGACCATGTAGAAGCCTGTTAAAGCAGTTCACTGGAACAAGGAAGGAAGCTCAGGTTAAGAGAGTAGCCAAAGATGCAGTAGAAATGCAAATGACGCTTCAGACAGACTTTAGCTAAATAAATGTGTGGTCAAACCAAGAATCATGGATGCACAGCAAGAAAGTTGGTTTCTTAAGAAGTCACATGGGAAGTTACACACAACTCAGTCTCTCAAGGTTCTATTTTATTCCTAGGTTCTGTTTCCCTCATGCTCAGCCACCCAATCACCAGTATCAGGTAAGTTTCTACCAGGTAAGAGTGTGCTTACAGATACCCAATTATCATATGACACACATTTTTGTGACTTGTTTATATTTAAATGAGTATCTCAGATCAAGTATTGTGTCCCGGAATAACTCTGATTAAAGTAAATCAGCATTAAAGGAGCAATACAACTGTAAGATAATTTCTAGCTAATCTCTTTCCTATGCATACCAAGCACCATCAATTTGAAGAGCTAGCTGGCCCAGAAAGCATTGCTCAATTCTTCTAAGTCAAAAATTTGCAACATTATTTAAGAAAACTTTAAATCAGAACATAAGCCATAGAACTGAGACACAAAAGATATAGGAAAAAGTGTTTAAGTCAGAATCTCATGATTGAGTTTATCTATCAACTGCCTCTTGGCAATGATGATGTTTTTGTGTGTTTGTTTTAAAGCACTTAATTCTACTTGTTAAATGTCTCTCAAGGTCACTGTAACACATTATCTCAAAGCATTGCAGGATACCAGCTACGGATCTCAGCCTTTATGAGCTCCTTATGACAAATTTGACTGCAAAACTCATGCTCTGCTGCAGAATGAAAATCAGCTCCCCTCCACAATCAGTTAAGGTGGCTGCGTAAGGAAAGTTCGGAGGTTTAAGTCCACCCAGAGGTACCTCAGAAGAGGCCTACAGGTGCTTTACTTCTGAAAAAATCAGCCACTGAAAACCCAATGGAGCCCAGTTCTACTCTGACACACATGGGATGACCATGAGTCTGAAGCAACTCCATGGCAAATGAGTAAATTATTCCCCCCAAACGCACCTCAACTTTCCTTCCTAAAGTGAAAGAGCTGGACTACCTCCCTCAAGGCGTCCTGAAGTCTTCCAGCCCACCTCTGTGCTTGGCTGCCCACTGTGTAAAGCACTCTTTGATTTATACAAAAAAGGAACTTCGTGGAATGCCTTAGTTTTCTTTCTGTTCCCTTTCTTCGTCCTCTGCTTTCATACAATTAACATCCATATGCTGTATTCTTCTCTGGGTCAGACTGGTAGAAAGAGCAAAGGCAAAAACTGGGTGTCAGTCCCAGTTTTGTCTGAAACTACCTTCTATCCCTTATCTATCAAGCACAAATACCAGACCTCCATCACAAAGTTGTTTGAAGTCCAATCCCAATGAGAAAAACCTGAAAACCGCCATGCACGGCCAAATCTAAGAGGAAAACAAAATCGAGTTCAGGTGAAGCTTAAAACCAACAGGACAGGTGGGGACCAAGCAAACTACAGTCACTCAACCATCAGCAGTTTACTCAAACAAGAATTGTCTTCCTCCAACATTGGGGTGAATAGAATTATACTCGCCAGATCCAACAGTGTCCCTGCATAGTCCCGATGGAATCGCTCCCCATCTTGGGGGCTTTCTTTCCCCCACTTGTACAATAAAACTTTGGCAACAATGAATATTCGAATATTGCTGTTAAAGGAAGCAGAACCTGAGATGCCAAGCTGCCTTTCCCTGCAATAGTATCAGAGAAGAGGACTGGGCTGGAAGGCAAAGGTACAGGGTTTTGGTTCACACCAGCTCTTGCAGGCAGTGTGACCTTGGACAACTCCTTTACTGAGCAAATCCCCTCCTTCCGTCCAGATAGGTAAACCCTGGGAAAAGCATCCCGTCGGCCTGCAAGCTGAGGGCCCAGCGACCACAACAAGCGCCCGTTTGGCGCATTGGCCAGTTACAGCCCTGACGCTCCCCCCACCCTCACCCCGAAAGATTCCAAGCTCGTCTGCAGCATAAGGATGTACCCCTTCCGGATGCGGGGCGTGCCAGGACAGCAGTTTCGATTTCCTTACGACAAGGATTACTTCCCCGCCGTCCCAGCAACGCCGGCAAAGACCCCAGGGCTGCACTCAAGTCTCCGCACCGGACCTCCCAACCCGGCTCAGCAGCCAGCCAAGTCCCGAGGGGCTGGGAACAGCGGGAGGGGCGTTGCCATAGGAACAGCGCTCAAGACCCCGGCCCAAAGAGACCATGAGAGGAAGGCTCGCGAGACTGCTGTGCCCCATGCGACCACGCCCGGCCTGCTCCTTCCAGGGCTGCTTCGCACTACCAGCAGCAACCCCATAGCTCCGCGGCTTCCCGCGCTGCTCCACGAAAATCCTACCTTCCGCCATGTCGGGCCCAGCCCTGCCTGCAGCCTCGCGAGAAGTGCGCCGCTCAACTGGGGCGGTGCGAAACGGAGGTAACAAGTCTCGCGAGAGACATGAGGAGAGGCGAGGTTGAGGGAGGAGCCTAGGGAAGAAGGTTAATGAAAGTAGTTCTAGACAAGGAGCTAGTTCTAGATAAGGGAAGAAGCAAAGAACCTGGTCTCTTTTCACCTGGTACTTTCGAGCCCTGGGATTTATCAAACACTAACTGAGCTCCGTCATATTTCATACCGTAGACGAGGCACCGAAAGGACGGACATAACGATTGTAGATTTCTCTTTGGGAAAGCTTGGCTGTAGGGGGTTGAGAAAAGGTCAGAAACTTAGAACCAATCAAGAGGGAATGGCTAGTGATGGTTTATGGTTTCTGGGCGGTGCAGGGGATGGGAGTGATGGTCTGTATGAGCTATAGGACCCAAGTCACTTATTACTCTAAATAATACATTAGGAAACATGAACATGTATGCAGATGGATATGAAAAGAGAATAGCAGGGAGATAGTGCTGGCATCAATTCTGGGGGTGACGCAGGTAAGCAAGGTGTTCTGAGACAAATGAAGGAATTTGGTAGAGGAAGCTGAGGTTGGAAGGCCTGATTCCCAATGTTTTGCATATGTGTGGATTAGTCACTTTCAAGCAGAACACTTAGATGAAGAAACAAAAAATATGAGTTACAGCATTTGTCCAGCAAATTTATGGGCAAGAAGACATTGAGGATTCTATGAGAATAATCAAACTCATTATTTGAGCTGAATAACTCAGCTCAAATAATCAAACACAAGCATCCCTGGTGGTGCTGTTGAGCTGCTAACCACGAGGTCGGTAGTTCAAACCCACAAGGCACTTCCAGGGAGAAAGATGAAGCTATCTGTTCCCATAAAGATCTGCAATCTCAGGAACCCTAAAGAGCTGTTCTACTGTCTTGGAGGGTCTTTTTGAGTTGTAGTTCACTTGATAGCAGTGGGTTTCATCAAACATTGAGTGCATACTGGCTAGGGGCTGCTAAGGAGTCAAGAAACTAGGTTTCTGTAATACTGAACACCAGTGCAATGTGGACATGGTCGTGAGAACCCTGTGCTCAGAGTGAGCTTCACTGGTGGTTTAGTATCAAAATTCTCCCCTTCACACAGGAAACCCAGGTTCAGTTTCTGGCCAATACACCCCATGTGCACTCACCACCCATCCCTCAGTGGAGGTTTGTGTGTTGCCATGAAGTTGAACAGATTTCAGAGGAGCTAGAAGACTAATAATATAGGAGTCCTGGTAGTGCAGTGGGTTACGTGTTAGGCTGCTAACTGTAAGATCAGCAGTTCATGTCCACCAGCTGCTCCTCAGGGGAAAAAAATGAGACTTTCTGTTCCTATAAAGATTTATAGCCTCAAAAATTCTACACAGGAGGACCTTAGGTGGAATCCTGAGCCTCATCCATAACCTTCTGAGGTGGGACATTCCCACTGGAAAGGACAAGCAAATCAGCCTGGAACAGAGCAACAGAAGATACTTGAAAAATATCTTTCCAAAGAAAAATCCAAAACTATTCAGTGGGGACTCTACCTTCTCCCATACACTCTTAAAGTAAACTCCTTCTTGAAAACTTGTAAGCCAGTCACTCCATGCATTTGTTGCCCCCTCATTTTAGGTAGCCAATGTCTAAGTTGCCCATACCTGTGTAGGGTTTCCCAGGAGTGGCTGGTTGTGTTTGAACCGCCAAGCTTGCAGTTAGTAATCCAGTTCTTATCCTGCCTTGTTGTTAATTAAGTATTGTCTGTTTGGTTCCAACTTATAGCGACCTTGTATAGGGTTTCCAAGGAACAGCTGGTGGATCTGAACTGCCAACATGATAGGGTGGCTTGAAGTAGAATTTAGAAGCCACAGAAATTAGATGTTGGAATTCAGAGATAGGAAAGGAAGACCAAAATCCAAGTGCTAAGATCTTTGGGGATAACTTACACCAACCCCCGAATCCAAACCACTGTCATAAAGTCAATTCTGACTCATAGCAACCCAATGTAGGCTTTGTTTTTGTTGATAAGTTTCATTCATCAAGTTGGTTTTGACCCATAGCAACTTGTATAGGGTTTCCAAGGCTGTAAATCTCTTCTGGAGCAGCTGGTGGGCTCAAACCAGTGACCTGTGGTTTGCAGTCCAGTGCTTGTCCTACAGAATCACTGTGCCCCCCATGTAGGGTTTTGCTGTTGTTGTTAAGCGCCATGCAGTTGGCTGGACTCATAGCAACCCTATATAGGTTTTCTGAGGAGTGGCTGACATGTAAAGTTTGTTATTATTAAGTTCCGCAACACCAACCAGGACTTTTAACTCTTTACAGGAGAAGACAGTCTCATCTTTCTCCCACAAAACAGCTGGTGGGTTTGAACGACCAACCTTGCAGTTAGCAGTTCAATGCTTATTCCCCAGTGCCACCAGGACTCATGGGGGAATGAGTAGGTTGTTGTTGTTGTTAAGTGCCATGTAGTCAGTTCCGACTCATAGCGACCCTGTATAGGGTTTCCAAGAAGTGGCTGGTAAACTTGAACCACTGACCTTGCAGTTCAATAGGACCTTGCAGTCCAGCACATTAACCCACAGCACCACACCAGGACTCCAGTAGGTGGTTAGAAAAACCAAAAACACGGGATAAAAGGTAATATAGTAGAACAGCACAAGACCTTTCAAAAAAGTTTTTATCTCAAAGGTGAATCAAAAGAATTCTACCCATTTCTAGAAGCTTCAATAGTTGGGTTACAGAGAAATGATGATGTTGGGGGACAGCCAAGAATAAGAGATGATATAGGTTAATGTAAAGATCTGAAAACGAGAGGACAGTGTTAGAAAGGAGGATTCAAAGTAGGAAGTTTGAGGTGTTACTATAGTTACTATCTTGTTGTTAAGTGCCGTTGCACTGGTTTCAACCCATAGTGACCCTGTATAGGGCTTCCGAGGAGTAGCTGGTGAACTTGAACTGCCAACTTTGCAGTTCAAACAGCTTTGCAGTCTGGCGCATTAACCCACAGCGCTACACCAGAACTCCTATAGTTAAGTGTTCATGAGTGGAATGAAGAAATTTATCATTTCTATCATGAAAAGATAGGTCAAAGATTAAACTTTTGAGGAAGAAGGGATTCTGGTTGATAAGACAACTGGGAGAAGGAAAGGGAGAGGTTTTTGAAATGTGTAAGAACAATGGTTTGCTCGGGTGAACTTTTTGCTGTGGTTCACAGTGACCCTGTATAGGATTTCTAAGGAGCAGCTGGTATATTTAAACTGCTGATCTTGCATTTCTAACTAACCTTGTGGTCCAATGCTTATCCTACAGCGTCACACCAGGCCATTTGGTAAATTAAAGGTGAGGGAGTCCTGGACAGGGAGATGCAGGGAGAGGTCCAATGAAGATGCCATGACTAAAAGCTCCCCTGTGTCAAGAATGGTTTTTAAGAGTGCTAAATGATGAACCCTTTGGGTGAGCTTGTCTCCTTCTGGCTACAAACACCCTCATCTCTTCATCTGTGTACCCTATAGATAGTCTCAGGGTGGTAACATAAGGCACTGCAGAATAATGCACTGGACCACTCGGAAAGTTTGAACTGCAAGGGCAGCAGTTCAAACCCACCACCCACTCCTTGAAAACCATATACAGGGTCACTATGAGTTGGTAGACTGGACTACACTCAATAATATAAAAAATAAAAAATAAAGAGAGAGAAGCCAAAGCAATGAGATTTTAATTTGCTCTGTAAATTTTTCCAAAACACAGGAAAACAGACAGCAAAGTGGTTGGGAAGTTGTGTCATAGCTGGTGCCTGGTTTTTGACTAATCTTTGCCTCACCAGCTGCACCAGCCTAGTCTGTGGTATATACCAAGTGCTCAAAATGGTGAAATACTAACAGTTACCACTGTGGGAGTCCTGATGTGGCACTGTAGGGATAAGCCGTTTAAGGTCAGCAATTCACACCACCCACTCCTCAGAAACCCTTTTCAGAGTCACTGTAGGTTGAAAATGACTCAATGGCACATAACTATGGAGGTCAGGAGAACTGTGTTCAGTTTGGTTCTGCAGCTAACTTGCTGCATTGATCATGGGCATACAGGCAAGCTCCATCCTGCATCCCATATTCTCCGGGAGTTTCGTAAAGGAAATTCTTAATGATTTGGATGGTAATGAACCACTTTGAAAATGTGATGAAACCATAGTCCTCTCCATTAGAGCATCACATATGCAGAACAGCCAAGTATGCGCTCTTTCAGAAGATGCTTGGACTAGGTTTAGGAGATTCTTTCCTTAAGTCAGCTGCCCAAAGCCAAACTAGAACTCACCAGAAGGTTTAAGCATCTGGGGTGGTTAAACACAGCCTACCTTCAAGGAGCCCTCTATCAGAGGTGAAAGCACTCCTTAGAAATGGCTTTAATATAAACGTCCCTGGGTCCTTGCCTTCTGAGGGAACTCTTAATGACCTGAAACTTGTGACTGAAAGAGGGCTTTTAGCCTGCAAAACGTTTGCAATGCTGAACTGCAATGCCCATTAGACTTGGATGGAACTACCACGTTAGCAGTTGTTGTTGGTACATTATAACACTAAACACAGAGATTTTGAAAAATCTGAGTGTGGCTTTCAGATGATTAAATCCATATTCAGGATTTGCGGACAGATTAAGAGGAACTTAGTGTGGAGTTGCCTCAGACTAGAACTGTCAAGGGCAGGAAGCACTAAATGCTGACTTTCTTCAGTTGAAAAGTACCAGGGAACACTTTGTAGGTTAGTAGTGGTATGTCTGGGCTGGGCAGGGGGGAATCACTACACTGATAGTCCAGTGAGTTAGGTCCACTCTATCAGACCTTAGAAAAGTCAATGTATCCGAGTTCTGGCTTCCTCATCTGCAGTATGTAAAGAGGGTAATAAATTGAATCCTGACCATGCCATTTACTTGCTCTACAAACTTGGCAAATTAATCTGAACCTGTTTCATCATGAAAAACTATGGCTTTGTAGGATCCTTATAAAAATGAGACAAGATCCTTTATGAAACATCCCAGTACAAGCTTGCCACAATATAGAGGCTCAATATATAGGAATTTAATTTCTAGTGCTCTTGCTAAGGACAAAAGGCAAAGTCACTATGAAGATGTAAGTGCATATTTAGTCCTAAATGGGTACTGCTGACAGGGGGAAAAATTGTCTGATTTTCTGCGCAGCTACTATGTTCCGTGTCTGACCAACTTTTGTGAAATCATTTTCCTTCCGTTTATTCCATCTATGTGAGCAGGACTGAAAATTCTTTGATAATTTCTCTAGCTCAGTATGGAGTTCTGACTGACTGAAACCACAAAGCCTGTTTACACTCACCTGAAACTGAGCAAACAGAAATCCCATAGCTTAGAAATAATAATTTGCTATGCAAGCTGAATGTTATTGAGGTTTGCACTCCTCTGAAAAACGAAAATGTTAAAATTTGACAAAGTGGCTTACCAATCCTATCTTTATGAATTCGGGAGAGAAAAAAATTAACTGGTCCTTCCTTAAGGGCTACTGCCTTTATCTGCATTTGAAGCAGCATGCAAATAACACTTTTGAGTAGATAATGCTGTATAAAATTTATATTGAAAGCTTTGGGACGCCATCTTAATGAGAATTTTATTCTAAACGTACTTATCAGGGAAATTAAACCCAGCAAATGACCCCCAATCTTCTGAAAGCTGCTCTGAGAGGGGATTTTCTTGTTTCTAATTCAGCTGTGGCCGAGATGTTTGACTTCGCATTCTTTCCCCAGTTTCTACAAAGCAGGCTTTAGTAGCCAGTGGCCAACCGTCAAGACTAAACGCTTTCCATACTTAACACTGTAAATCTGCATGATCTCAGAGAGGACTTCATCTTTTTCTGGGAAAATTCTATTATCTTTTAAGTATCAACTTTCCATGAACTTGTTGAAGTCTCATCTTTAGAGTCCTGGGGGCAGACTGGTTTGAACCTGTCAGCCATTCCACAGGGGATAGAAATAGGGAAGTTGCTTCCATAGCCTGGGAAACCCAGTGCAGTGCAGTGCAGTTCTACTCTGCCCTTCTTATAGGATCAGTGTGAGCTGGAATGAGCTCCACAGCAACTGGTTTGGTTTTGGGTGCTGGGGTTGGGAAGATTGATGATCTGTAGATTCAGAATGAAAAGCCTGATATGAACATTCTGTAAAACAGGAAAATAATCATCCTTGTATCTTTTGCCACTAGTTACTACTCAGTGCCCAGGAGCAGGTATTTGGACCAAGTTTTCTTGGGTTGATAATAATAGAGGGAAGGTGGTGGTTGGGATAATGTCCCATTTGGTTGGTTGATTATGTGCCTTGGAGTCGTTTCCGAGTCACAGCGACCCTGAACAGGGTTTTCAAGGCTATAAATCTTTACGGGAGCAGAAAAGCCTCATCTTTCTACCCCAGAACAGCTGGTAGTTTTTAACTGCTGACCTTGCGGTTTGCAGCCCGATTCGTAACCACCACACTACCAGATCTTCCAATTCACCTGAGTCTGGGTTATTTGCCTGTTAGCCTATCTTTAGAGCAGTAAAGTCAGTTTAGGCCAATGATAAAATCCCCAATAATGCTCTAGTGTGTACTCATCTAAGTTTCTAAATCCATATGCAGAGAAACTGTAAGGATGGTGCTTGGCCCCATATTGGAAATTTAAAAAGAAAACTGTTAAACAGGTTAGAAGTCAAGTGAACTTCCCTCCCTCAGGGAGTTCTTTCCTTCATGTTTTTAAGTTATTGACCAAGTTCCCCTGTGGATCCACACTTTGGCAAATGTGCTGTTCACATAGAAAGAATCCCACAACTTGCTTTTGAGACCTGCATCCTAAAACCAAAATAGCTCATGATACAGCCTCTAAGTCATCATTTATTGATTTATAGAGCACCCATCACATGATTGAGGTGCTTTACAATACAGTAAAACAATCACAACAGAACTCACATAGTTAAATACAATCAACAAATTACAGAACTAAAAAAAAAGGGGGGGGAGGGGGGAACTAAAACGAAGCAATATTATGTCAAATTCCAAAGATGCTGAGAAGTGGCAGTACAAAAAATGGTAATTCCACCAACTGGAGACCAGACAGGCAAAGATACACAGGCACCACAACCCGAAGTGGGTTGATTTGTAGCGGGTGAGTTGAGCATATAAAACAAAATTTCACAACCAAGAGTAAAGGCCATTAAGTATGATACCCTAGGGATCACAGAACTAGTGGAATCGCCTAACAAAGATATTACCTTATAATGACAAGGAAACCAACCTCCTGTATTTTAAACTTCACAAGAAGAGACCAGTCTCATTGACATCATCCACCCAGTATGAGCACACACTGAAATCTGTCAGCCTTTACAAGAACTTGGAATAAATTTAGGAAACTGCTAACAGTTCTACCATCCATAAAAATATTGAGAGGTTGTTGACCGTTGGTACAAGGTGAGGGTGGGGAGGGGGAATCCTTTTCCTAAAGCAGAGAGGAATCACCTCACGCTTAATGCTGAGGTAATGGTGGGACAAAAGCCACCTGAATCAGTGTCACCCAAGTGTGGTTTAATATCAAATGTAGAGGCATTTAAATTCACACTGTCAGATGAACACTGAGAAAGGCACAGATGACGCCTCTGACAGAGGAAAAGAAGTCCTATCATCTCTCTAGGCCTGTCTTTCAGTCTGTAGTACAGTCAGGGAACCAGGTGGGAGGGCTGTGAAGAGACGTGCATTGAACCCTGGCTCTCTTCCACTCCCTATATCTAGCCCTAAAAAATCCACATGGTTATACCAACATAACCGCATTCAAGTGGCACTTAAAGTTCAATAATAAGTTTTGTCCCTGAGTTACTGGGTCATTTGCTACTCCCTTAAGGGCCAAATCCCAGGTTTTGACTCAATAGACTGTTAGCAGAATTACAACAAGAGAGGAGCAAACGTCTGACTCCGTTTTGCCACAAGCAACTGCCATGTGAACAATGTCTGGTTTAAGACGAAAAGGGATTGTGTTCCAAGTCCCAGGTAGATGTGCAGTGCTGGCACTTTCGGGCAATAATTTTCAGTCTTGGAGAAAAAGTTAAAACCAAATCATAAATTCAGTTCTTGAGGAAAACAGGGCTCCAATGGATCAAATCAAACAATTTTCACATTAAGTTATTACAATTTATAGGTTTTTATGAATGCTTCAAAGTGGAGAACAGACTGGGATTTAGAAAAAATCAACTCTCTACTGTGGGTACATCCTCAACCATTTTACTTCTGTTTAAAAAAGAACATGCAACATTGGTAGCGGCTGGGTTGTTGGCAAGAATCCTTTCACTCTTCTGCCAAAGCATTTCCAAACCCCACCGAGCAAAGATGCACTGATTCTCACAATTAAACACTGTGTCCCATCTGGTACTGCCTCAATTTCTACCCCTCACATGCCAAAGACTACTCCTCACTCCCAACCTCACAACCAATATGGGGAACCTCTAATACTGCACATGCTATGCTCACTGTACCATTTTCTGAAGCTGTTTTCAAATCTGTGATATAGAATACACTATGCTCAAACATTAATCAAATCCAAGTGCACTGAATCTTTATGTCAAATAGCAAAGTACTTAACCCCATAAATGCTTTTAGATTCATGAGAATCCAGATATAACCCAATACTTATGCTGCCATGGCCATGTGATTTTCAAGTATTAAGTTTGTTTGCATAAGGAATCAACCTGAGATTTTTCTCAACTGCACTTCTCTGGCATTCAGTGTTGTAACCTTCATTCAATACAATAAAAGCCAACAACTTGACAATTATTGGAAAAAAAAATTGTATTTTGGAAGAACTTACTACATAAGGTGACAGAATTCCAAAATCAAATTACATGAAAATATACATCGCAATTTTTTTGTACAATAGGTGAGAAAAATCTGCAGTAGAGAATAGAGGCAAAGAAATCTGAAGGACTAAGGAGAGGGCATGAGGGTAAACAGCATTTTAAATAGCAAACCCAGAAGAGTTAAGTAGAAAGCCTGTAGCTGTGCATGCTTTACTTATCCAACTTTAACATTAAACAACTGGAGGAGGGGGGGATTTCAGAATTTTGTACTATTTAGAGTAAATGTCAACAAATTGAATTCAAAACCAGCTCTTTAGTTCTCAAGGGTAATGACTGGGTTCAAGAGCAGTCAAAACTGTTATTGCTACATCCAATCTGAGAGATGGCTGCAACTAGAGTACCAAAAGGACAAAGCACCTGGTGATGACCACTCCTCTGAAGTCATCATTAAAAATCAAGTCATTGCTTAGTTAAGTATTTCAGTATTTGAATGAAATGATTTGAGAACTTCCTGGCGAAGAGAAGGGATAAAGCAAAGGGGAGTGTGCCAAAACAAAGAAGATACAAAAGTTTAGTAAGTGAAAAGATTTTAATGAAGCCTCGTGGTTTAAAAGGAAATTAAATGGAAACTTTTAATCCTAATTGCTTTTCATCTGACATGCTTTAAGGAATCTTTAAAAACTGATAAGAAACGATGAATAGGGAAAGAAAAACTGCTAAAAATCTTTTGGAATTTACACGATTCTTATTCTACTACAAGAAAGCATTATTTGGTACAAGGTGTATTTGTGGATGTACATGAGCAGTGTATATAGTATCCGGTTGTGCTATGTACAGGTCTTTACAATTCTTCCTGAAGGTTAAAACAGTTCATTAGAATTCAAAATGCGTAATCATCTATAAGTTGGCACTTGGTAGGCTCTTGTCAGCATTGATAACTGGCATGTTTTATTGCAGCCCAGTTCCAGCCAGTGTTTGCCAACTTGTTACAACAGAAGTCCAGCAATAGGTGGGTAGAGTGCAGGAAAAACAGTGCCATGTTTCTCAATTGGAGACCTATAAACAAAACACATTATAACAATCAGGTTTAAAGTGCAAGTGTTAAATTTCAAAGAATTATTTAAGCTATTTGAAAATTTTATCCATATTCTATTTATTTGGATGCAAATTCTTAATTTCATTTTAAAACTTACTTTAATGCTGTCCAATAAGGTATTCAGTAGCCAAATGTAGCTATTTCATTTAAATGTAAGTTAATTTACATTAAATATAATTTAAAGCATGGTTATTCAGAGACACATGAGCTGTACTTCCGAGCTTGATGATCACACATGGTTAGTGACTATCATATTGGACAACACAGACAGGAAATTTACAAAGACTTAGGAGATTCAAAGAAACAAGAGTACACCACACTTCACAATTTTGAAATTTTAGCCAATCCTCGACATTCAGTTCAAAGCCATTTTCTCCATGGAGCCTCCTGCATATGACCATCTATCCTTGTGTGGCACTGTGGGTTAATGTGCTGGACTGCAAAATCAGTTTGAATCACTAGGTCAGCAGTTCAAGCTCACTAGGTGCTCCTCAGAAATCCTACACAGGGTCACTATGGATCAGATATGACTCAATGGCACTTAACAACAACAACCCCACTAAGATTTTTCTTTGTTTTGTCCTCAGTTAGGAAAGTCCAGAACCACATCTATATAAAAACAACCACCATCCTATCAAATGTTTCAAGCAGTATGCTAAATGCTTTACAGAATTTATGAATGCTTACAATCACTATGTGAGAGTGCTCTTTCCTTCCTGCTTAAAAAGATAGCTAAGCACTGTCTTCCAAGATTTTTTTTTTTTTAAATAAAGCCTTATTTAATGATTAGAGTTTCCATAGTCGGTATTATTATGTCAGTGTGTGCTTTAAATATACTGGTGGTGGTGGTGGTGGTGGTGGTGGGCGGGACATCCCAGGGTAAAGAACACAGATTACAGTTTTATATAAAGTGTCCCCAGAAACTCAGAAACCTGTTATCTGCTGCAAAGCAGAATGTCAGGCATGAAGAACTCAAAATATGATTGAGGACTGAAGGGATAGAATTCTTAATTCCAGACAAAGAAGCCAAATGCACTTATAGAGTTCAGTCTCAATGTCTCCATCTCAATCACCCACATCAATCATACCGAGATTCTGTTGCAGACAAAAAGCAAACTGTGGACAATCTGCAGGTTAACAGTACCTTTTTCTGTAATTTAGACTACTGCCCTACAACAGATCACCCATAACTATTCACAGATTTCTTTACTAAAGAATTGTACCAATTAGTGTAAATAGTAAATGTCAACACTCCAAGCAAAACACTGAATCTGAATCTATCACCTTCCTTAGAATTGGGTTCTACCACTTGTACACACAAATACATACATGTACATATTTTATCAGAAAATTCAAAGACATACTAGAACTCAAGAGACACTGTTATGGAGTGAGTATTATAATTTTTTTTTAAATGTTTTTCCAAAAACAATACCACACCAAATTAATCCCTGGCCAATTAATCCCTCAGGGCTAAAGGTGAATTGGGTATGGAGTTTGGGCATTCATTCAGTAATCATAGTAATCATTCCCCTAGGATAAAAACTATGAGAAAATTTCAGGGCCACAAAAGAACTATTTAAAAACTTGTTTCCATGTGACACTTTAAAGACCCCCACCCCCCCCCACCCCCAAAGGGCAGAAAGCTGTTAAGTTATTGTTGTTAAGTGCTGTCAAGACTGTTCTGACTCACAGCAATAGGGTTTCCAAGGAGCGGCTGGAGTTTGAACTGCCGACCTTGTGGTTCAAACCAACCCTGCAGTCAGAACTTTATTAAACACCTAAAATCAGGCAACCTAGAGTTTTATTAGTGAGGACCCAGCTTTTTATTTTTATTTCCTTTTCTTTTTTAAAAAATGTTTTATTGTCAATTATGTGATAGTTTACATGGGAGAACATTAGTTTTACATTCATCCTACAATATATCGTTTCATTGCCATGGTTACAATCCCCTCCATGCATCATCAACCAACCAAAGGGTATACCCTACAAGCCTGACTCCAGGTCATCAGCACACAGCTCCTTTCCCTCTCTGGGTCAAAGTCCCCAGCTGCTCCATCTCTCCATGTCATCATCTCTGCCCTCCATCTCAGGCATCACTGCTTCTCTGGGTAGGGTCCCACTCTCCGCTCTTCTCCCTTGATGGTCCCAGGGACCTCTGCTCCTGGACTGCAAAGTTAATCACTCCCCTCCATTCTACAAAACGTCTACCTTTACATTTCCAACCCTCATAGTCAGTCCTGATAACAATTATTCACTATTTTATCACAAGAGACCTATCTGCATCTCCTTTCATCAGTTCCCCCCAGATAGACTGTATACTACTCAGTGGAGACTTTTCTACCTTCCTTCACACCCTCTCTGGATCTAGGGTCCCTTTTGATAGCTTGTAAGCTGGTCACTTCTTGCCTTTGTAGCCCCCCCCCCCCATTTTGGGTAGCCAATGTCCAAGTTGCCCACCCCTGTCTACTCTGT